AATTGTTTTCAAATTACAAAGCAACAAGTCCATTTATAGCTACACCTCAAACATAAACTAAAACACACACATTAAATGAGAAAACTCGCGAGCTAAGGCTCACTTACGAGTTTTGGCTCGGATTTCGTGAGTAAAATCCGCGGGTAGCAGGGCCTTCACGGGTGCGGGTGCGCAGATTCACAGGCAGGAGGCGCGCAGGATAGGAGGACTCGCGGGCTTGGCCGGGTTTCGCGGGCGCGGGCTCGAAAACTCGCGGCTTGGCAGCAGCGTGCTGGGAACTCGCGGGCAGGAGGCTATTCGCGGGCGCGGAAGGCGCAAACTTGTGGGCAGGCGGCATGAGGCGAACTCGCGACGCAGGGCTGTTCGCGGGTGCGGGGAAGGGATTTGCGGGCGCGAATTTTGGACGCTCAGCTCGCGAGTTCTGGCACCTTGCGAATATGGATTCCCGGTAGCGAAATGTGGATACTGCAGGTGGCTTTGTCGCTCGCGAATTTTGGCAGCTCGCCAATCTGGATTCGCGGCTCGCGAATTTTATCCCGGTGACCCATTGAGGCTCGATTCGCTCTAACTTCTCGCACACTTCTCCGATTGACTTGAAACTTTGACCCACACTTCCCATATCTTCTTCCCACCGCCTTGAGATGCGTAAATGGGTGTCACCACGCAATTAATAAATACTCTCGGAACGGCACGGAAATGGTTCGCGTGGCTCGGACATGGTTCGGACGGCTCGGAAATGGCTCGTCTCCCTCGACTAGAATCGTGTGGACCTAAACAACACAAAAAAGACAAGAAAAATACGCCGAACCACAAAAACACAATCGAGAGCAAAAATACACGAAACACGATAAAATAGAACGGTCGACACCAAAACGGACCTAAAAATACTAGACTCATGCACATAAAACACATGAAAATAAGCACAAAAACACAATAAACAACACACAAGGTTCATCTTCATTAGATCTGCAGACCACTTTGCACGACATTTGATTTGAATCTGTTGTCCGAACTGCCCTCAACCTATCAACGTTCCAAGCCAAGATACCCAATTGTGCTTCTTCCTTGCTCCTAAAAACTGTACCCAAACCTATGGTCTCAATGTCGCCATTCCAAAGTGGAAGAGCATACTCGTTCTCATCTATCTTCGATGGCTCCCATTCACTCATCTTGCGATAAATGTGGCGATCACCACTAGGAAAGGGGTGTTCTTCTTCAATGAACTCGGCTTCACTCTCCTCATTTATTGATCTGTTTGATTCGATTTCTGAGGTCTCGTATGTGAAATCATCTTCACCGGGAATGAAATCTTCATCACTTTCTTCCCTGTCCTCATTTGCCCATTCTCTCATTGTTGAACTTGTCCCTTCTTTAAAATTACGTAGATGAGAAGTCGACGTCCCCTCAACATCAACCACTCCCCCGTAACAAGGAGTAACATCCTCAAACTGTGTAACCGGTGTAATTGCCTCCAACGATAAATGCAAATACACAATGGATATAGGAGGAAAGTAATAAATCCATTGAAGAACACTATCGTTATTGAGTATTGTGGTATTCCACGAACCATCGGGTTAGCTAACCATTAAAATTATCCCTGAATTGTCCAACCTTCTCCAAACCGACAATTTTTATTAATCATCTGTACCAATTGTTCATATGATATCCTCCCCGAAATAACAAATGAACCATTCGGACAATCCATAAATGAAACAAAATTGCGCAACATTTCCTTTCCACAATGCCAATACAAATTAACAAGGTATAGACCGCAATTCGCCATTTATACCTGTTGCAAAAAAACACTTTTAATTCTTCCCAATTACAACAACACATAATGTCTAATCCAACACCCAAAAAATTCAATTATTCTTTTACCATTCTAAATTTAAAACCCATTTTTTTTACTCCAACGAAAAAACCAAAATAAATATTCCCAATCAAATAATCCTCCAAAACCCTAATACCCATAATCCAACAATAACATAGAATTCATTTATATGGATAAATTGAAAGCCCTAATTCTAACCCTAATTTCGAAAAAACCCTAAGCCCAACAACAACCAACCAATAGACAATTGACAATTTACAACAAAATTCCAATCTCCAATTCAACATACACACATAATCGATAAACAATTAACAATTTCCAATCTTCAAACACCACCACATTCAAACATACTATAGCAATTCCTAATCTCCAAACAACTCCAAACGATGTCAAAAGTTGAGATAAGCCAATATACCTCGTGTGAATGAATTAACCGGAAATGAGGCTCGTGTCGCTGTTGTCGGCTCGTGCCGGTGTGCGGATGAGATCGCGTTTTTTTTTTTCCGAAGGTTTTTTCTCAACCAATGTCTCTGCTCTCTGTTATCTCTCTGTTGTTTGCGTGTAAGTGATGGAGAAAAAGAGATTTTTTTTATTTAATTGTAAAACGTATTCTGAGAATACGTTTATTAAATTTATTTTTTATTAAAACGCACGTTTTAATGAAATCGCATTTTTAGTTGAATACGTTTTTCCGATTTTTTTAAATAAATCTTATTTCGAAAATACGTTTTTCAAAATCCTAAAAATTAATTTTAGGGTTTTGAAAAATGTATTCACATAATACGTTTTATAATTGATTTTCTTTTATTTTTAAATTAAATTATATAAATAAAAAACGTATTTCGAAAATACATTTTTCAAAATCCTAAAAATCAATTTTAGGGTTTTTAAAAACATATTCGCATAATACGTTTTATAATTATTATTTTTTACTCAATTCGACTTCTTTAACGGAAATAATTTTTTTAAAATCTTACAAAAAAATTTTTAAAACGTATTACGGAAATATGTTTTTCTAACAAAATTTTATTAGAAAAATGTATTCCGAGAATACGTCCTTTTTTATTTTTGTCCACACTTTTTTTTTATTTTTATTTTTGTCCACTTGATTTTTTTTTTTTAAAATAAATAAACCACCCCCTTTCATTCTATAATAAATATTATTTTTCGTCTTATTAAGCGGTTTTTCTCTACTATTAGTTAATTGACATGAGTGTTATAATTAAACTCCTTAAACTTATATAAGTAATTTCTATAACAACACTAAAAATAGTTGTAATACTTTTCTAATTAATTAATCGTATGGTCCCTCTAAATTATAAAATTACATTGTCCATTAAAATTTATGTTATCAATATAAAGATTCACATGCAAGTTAAATAATTTATATTTATATTGTACATTTGTGTATAGTCAAAAATTTTAAAATGTAACACATCCATTATCTAATTTAAAATTTTAAATATTGTATATGTACATATAATATATAAATTTTTATTTGTCTTTGTGCATGTGCACAGAGACGAATACAAGTTTATATAATTGCTGGCAAAGAAATAAGTAAAACCTAATTAATAAAACTTTTATAATTTTTTCGCTCATTTTTTCAATTAATATAGAAACGTTACAGTTTACATTAATAAAGTGTAATAACAATTTCAATTAATTTATTATATAATATTACTACCAACACTAACTGATAATAATTTTACATTAAATAGTATGTGGAAGTTACATACTTATAAAAAATTGTATGGCAATTTTTTTTCTTTAAAATACGTTTTCGAAATAAAATATTTTTTTGTATTTTTATCTAATATTAGTTAATTGGTATGAGTGTCATAATTAAATAGCTTAAAATCACATAAACAACTGCTATAACAATAATAAAAATAATTGTAATACTTTTCTAACTAATTAATTGTATAGTCTTTCTAAATTACTAAATTATATTGTCCATTAAAATTTATGACATCAATATAAACATTAATACGTAAATTAAATAATTTATATTTACATTACACATTTGTATATAGTCAAAATTTAAAATGTAGTACATCCATTATCTAATATAAAATTTTATATATTGTATACATATATATAGCATATAAATTTTTATTTTTTTCATACATGTACACAGAATGAATAATAGTTAGTAAAGAAATATCGGAATAATCATTCACTCATTCATATTTTGGCTCATTAATTTATTGCCAATAAGAGCGAAATTTTTTTTCCTATGGTTTGGATTCAAAGATGGCCAATTCCGATTTATTTATTTTTTTGGGTCATGTAATTCTTTCTCATTGAATTTTTTTCCCGCGTACTATTTTTTTCTTTTTTATTTTTATTTTGGGGTATTTAGATTTTTGTTTGTATTTTTGTTAACATGACCCAATGGGAAGGAAAAATTTTATAAATTGAAAATTATGTGTTTTTTAATTAAATTTCATGTATCGTTTTGCAAGAGAAAAAAATCGTCACAAAATTACAAAATTTAGAAAAGATGGTGTTGTGAAGTTCAATATTTTAATTTTCTTTTTCAAAAAACCTTTTATTCACGTTGATGCCATGTAGAAATGTGACCGATCACATTGTTTTCTGCTCATCGAAATTTAACCTCACGCGTTGTTTTTCAAAAATAAAAAAAGTCAGGTACCATTTTGCCAAGAACGAAAAGTCATGACAGAATTGCAAATGTCAAAAATGTCAAGTTGAGACATGTAATTTTACTTATTTTTCAGTTACACATGATTTCAACACATAAATAATAATAACAATAATAATAATAACATAATAATAATAATAACATAATAATAATAATAATAATAATAATAATAATAATAATAATAATAATAATAATAATAATAATAATAATAATAAGTTAACTAGATTGTCAGAATGTATCAAAACTATAAAAGTTATAATATTAGTCATTATAATTGATAAATTTAGTGATTTATATAAAGTACGCAATTAATATTTATATACTTCATTTTATCTAATTATTATAAATTTAAAATACAATATACTTAATATCAAATTTATAATATTTTATATTTTATATTGTGCATATGTCAGCATAGTCTAATAAATATATCCCAAACAAATACCAACCAATATAAAACGAAAATGCAACGTAATTGGAAAATCAAGTGCAGGTGACCAACAAAAGAGCCGGAAGGGTGGGGCCCATCTTCCTCACCAATAATTGATCATTCCTTTTCCTCCTCCTAAAGCCTAAATCCCCTCTGCGCTCTTGCGGTCCTTCACTATCTCCCCTTCTCCTAGCCCGCTATCCAACCATTCTCAAAATCCCCTTTCTACTCCGCCCACACTCCTAAACCCTAAACCCACACCAATTTGCAGTTTCCATGCCGCAATCGTGAAAAGAAAAAAATAAAATAAAATAAATAAAAATGCCATCTTTACACCATTTACTCCTCCCGCTTTCCGCCGTCTTCATCATCTCGGCGGCGGCGGCGGCGAATCCCGTCGTGTCTCAGGATTCCTCCATATACGAAATCCTCAGGCTCCACGGGCTGCCGATGGGCCTTCTCCCAAAGGGCGTGACGAACTTCAGCCTGGACAATTCAGGGAAATTCGAGGTCCGGCTGGACCGGGCCTGCAATGCCAAGTTCGAAAACGAGCTCCACTACGATGCCAACGTGTCGGGGACGATACAGTTCGGCCGGATCGACGGGCTGTCGGGGATATCGGCTCAGGATTTGTTTCTATGGTTTCGGGTTATCGAAATCCGGGTCGATATCCCGAGCTCCGGTCTGATCTACTTCGATGTCGGCGTCGTCTCCAAGCAGTACTCATTGTCCACATTCGAAACTCCGAGGGACTGTTTGGCTGTTCCTACTCCCGACGGGGACAATGTTTTGCAGACTGTTTCTGAGGTTTTTTGTTTTCCGAAATAATTGATTAAACTGAAAGTAGAAAACTTCATTAAAGATTGTCCTTTTTCTGTCTTTCAAAAATATATATTTTCTTAAAATAATTATGGAAATATTTCTTCTTTATGTGTTGTCTTGCCAATTCTTGTTCCTACTATTTGGATCCTAGGATTTTCTCTTTCGTTATGTTTTTTATTTTTGTTTCCCCTTAAATTTCTGGGTAATTAATGTGTGGTACAGAAATGAAATTTGACAAGTGGTTGCCTCAATTGTGGGGTTGCTGTGGCTGGTGTGTGAATTAATGATGTGCCAACTTTTTTGTTTGTCTCTTCTTTTTTTCCTTTTCTTGATGCAAAAAATGTGCTAGAAAAGATTTGATCCTTTTAGTCCATGTGGCCAATGTTTGACACTATTGCCACAGCGTGTGTGTATATTAGCTGTAATTCTCTGCAGTGCAAAAAGACAGCTTCTTGCTAAAAAGTAGAGTACTATTTCATCTTTTTGACCAATTTGCAGAATTCCATAGTCAGTAGGTCACTAGAGCTTTCAATTGCTCTGACCAATAATGGATTTTTCATATTGTAGTTGATGTATGCTTGGAACTGCTCTCTAACTGGTCGGTCACATTTAATATTTGAATGTAATTATGAACATAGGATCTAATGTGATGCTCTTCTTTTTNNATCTTGATTTTTTTAAGCAGACTCTGCCCAGGAAACTCCAGTTTGAGCTTGATCAGGATAATCTTGCGAGGACAGCATTGTAATTTTTGAGGTGGTGAAAAAAGGGCACACGATAGCTCAATCACATTACGGAATTTACGATTCGCATACATATGTACAAGTCTTGTATGTATTATTCACGTCTCATTCTCCTCGATAGTATTGTGCGAAATCAAAATCTGCAGGGAGGAGTGAAAGGGAATTGTTGTGGGAAAAACACCTGGAGGAGTGAAAGGAACAAGGTGAATTATTTTTTGTACTTATGTCAAATTGATTTATTACGTATACAGAAAACGAATGCAATTGTTTGAGTTTTGGTTCATTCCATGTATTGTAGTATAAAGGGTAAGATGATGAGTTGTTATACATACTTTCTCTTGTGGAGGTAAATAAGGGCTAGAGGTCTTTGTTCCGTAATTCTGTATTGTATCAGATGTATTTTTTTTTTTTTTCCAATTTATTCAATATTGTGTCAGCAACTTGGTAATTTTGGCTTTACCACCTAGACTACATTTAAATGTTACAGAGTTTGGATATCCAAAATAGAATCTGCAGTTAAGTTCAACACAAATTTGATAGAAAGAGGGGAAAATGGATGGAAATTACACCATATAATTTGTAATTGTTCACTATTATGTGTAAGAAAGTAAGATATAGTGGGCTGACTTCTGTATGTATTTAAGATTCACAATTTCTCATCTTTATTTTTTCAACATGCTTTGATATTATGAATATATTTTGCAATAATCAGGCTTCTTTTCTATCTGCCCAAAAAGAAAAACAAATAAATAAATAATTTGCATGTCACATGTGAACATTATTCAGAGTTGTTACTAGTTAATTATGGACTTTCCCTCCTTTAACCAACATCAAGGCCACACCTTTTTCTCTTTGCTTCTAGAATATGAAACCATGAAAAGGCAGGCTATTCCATTAATAATTTTCAGAAAAATCATGGAGCAATCCAGATAAATTCCATATTGAGGAATTTGGTTTGGTGTATTCCAAACCAAACTTCGTTGAGGCATTTGTAAAGGGGGCTGGTAACGGGCTCGTCCGAAGAGCCCAAAGTTTTGTCGGGCCAACATTATGAAGGTCCAATTAGGTCATATGAAAGAATTTGGCAGATGGGGACAATTAGGTCAGTGTTTTTTAGGCAATAAAATACAGAACAGGCAATAAGCATCCTTTATTTGTCAGGCTATACAGATAGCCAATCCATCTGTAAATCTAAAAAAAATATCTTAATTTTTAATTTTTTATAGTTTTCGTTGATATTTAATTGAGTTTTTTCTCTTAATGAAATGTCAATATTAGGCATCATTTTTTTTTCTTTTTCCTTCAATTTTACAAAATATTGCCATGATCATGTATCCTTTTTACAAGACAGTGGAGTGAATTACAGCATTTGGGACGACAATTTGATTGCTGCAAACGAATAATTACTGTTAATGTTTTGGGTAGATACTGTAAAAAACTGACACTGCTTTTGGACCATCATATTGGTGGTACACGTGTCTCTTCAGTATTGGGTGATCCAGGCACAAAACCAATTGGCACATAAATTAATTACTTATGGCAAATTGATGACGCCTGTTGCTGGTTGATAGATCCAAATGGAAGCTAAGTCAAATTATCATCAAGACTATTTACTGAAAATACTTTGAATGGGTGGAATTATAAATAGGTTTCTTAATGAATAGTTT